TCCGCTCCCCATACGGCAGGCTCTCCCTCTTCGCTTTAATCTCTAAGAAGAAAAAGGCCTCTCAAAAAAGCGTGCTGGCGAATCTGTCATGGCTGCACAAAGGCAGGGAGGAAATGATGTAGATAGTGGCAGAGAGATCTGTGATTTATCACCTGTCTGGCATGACAAGGGCTTTGAAGACATGTTCTGGGCCCCTCGGAGCGCGCATGAAGGAATGTGAGGACAGAAGATGACAGTCTCTTCACACTCACAGAAGAATGTGATCAGGAAAGCAGCAAGTTTATTTGAATATGTCCTTGTTACACATGTGTTGTGTATTTACAATTATTGTGTACATTTTTTGTGCAACTTTTCCTAAACATCATGTCTTCTATCTTTATGTAGTACACTTAAATGTGATAATTAACGTTACTTAATATGAATTAAATCAATAGTTACACTGACTGTAACATGGACACCTTGAAATAAAGTGTAACCCACTTTTTTAGCAGACTAACTCTCATGCGTTTTCACAACAGACAAGCATGTGCACTCACTGGCCACTTTATTAGGTACACCTATTAGGTACTGAAAAAGAGAAAATATCCAGACAGCGGCAGTCCGGTGGGCACAAACGCCTTGTTGATGCCAGAGGTCAGAGGACAATGGCCAGACTGGTCCAAGATAATAGAAAGGCAACAGTAACTCAAATAACCCCTCGTTACAACCGCACCAAGGTCTGCAGAAGAGCATCTCTGAACGCAGAACACGTCCAACCTTGAGCCAGATGGCTCAACAGAGCAACAGAAACAACACAGGGTGTCACTCCTGTCAGCTAAAAACAGGAAACTGAGGTCTCATTTCACACAGGCTCACCAATTTTGGACGATAGAGAATTGGAAAACCGTTGCCTGGTCTGATGAGTCTCAGTTTCTGCTGTGACATTCGGATGGTAGGGTCAGAATTTGGCATCAACAACATGAAAGCATGGATCCATCCAGTCTTGTATCAACGGTTCAGGCTGCTGATGGTGCTGTAATGGTGTGCGGGATATTTTCTTGGCACACTTTGGCCCCCTAATAATACCAACTGAGCATCATGTCAACACCACAGCCTGAGTATTGTTTCTGACCATGTGCATCCGAATGTGACAAACAGTGTACCCTTCCTCTGATGACTACTTCCAGAAGGATAACCCATAATGTCATAAACATAAATATCTCAGACTGGTTTCTTGAACATGACAATGAGTTCACTGTACTCAAATGGCCTACACAATCACCAGATCACAATCCAATAGATCACCTTTAGGATGTGGTGGAACAGGAGATTCACACCATGAATGTGCAGCCGACAAATCTGCAGCAACTGTGTGATGCTACATGTCAATTTGGACCAAAATCTCTGAGAAATTGTCCAGTACTCTATGACACAAATGATTAAGGGAGTTTTGAAGGCAAGATGGTGTCCAACCTAGTACTAGTAAGGTGTATTTAATAAAGTGACCATTGAGTGTAGACTGTTTGCTGATTATGTACATGCACACAAACATGCAAGTGTATATTTGTAATTATAAACCCAATATTTCTATTTTTGTTGATTTATTATCAAATTTCATTTTATTTGCAGTTCAGTTAAATATGTGGTGGATTTTTTCTTCTGTTTATATAATATTCATTTAGGATTTAGCAGGGAAAATGTTTAACAGCTTCATAAGGATTCACTCAGAACCATTTTTTTCCCCAAACATTTGTGCACTTGAGCGAATAAATAGTGACAACTGTTAATTTTGGGGTAAACCATGCCTTTGGGATTACATTTAGCAAGGCTTTTTTGACTAGATGGAGTTTGACTGCCACCGTGTGTTCATACTATATAAACTATATTAAGGTACATTATTCTAAAGTGTTTTGATATGCTAATGCTTTTGTTGCCTAGTTTGTTTCGCTCGCTACGGTGATTCTGTTGGTCTTTATAATCTTTTTAATCATTCATTGAAATGGCTTCTTTAGGCTAATGTAATAAAATGTGGTTAAAAACGTAATCGTTGAATTTTTTATGCTTTTAGTTTGCTATTTTGAACACATGGAGTTTGACTGCCACCTTGTGTTCATATGTGAACTCTAGAACTCTAATGTACATTTGTTGACAACATCGAAGTGTTGTTGTGCCAATTATCAAATATAAATAGGCTATAAATGAACTGACATCACATACAGCTGCCTTGATAAATAATTTTCCATAAAAACCCTACTAAATGTAAACAACTAAAACATGTCTTTACATCTACAATAAAGTGTTGCTGTATTAAGTTAAACTATATGCTAACCGAATATTAAAGAATGCAAAGTAACAACTAGCAGTTGATAAGGCTGTCATTTGCTTTATTTTATTTTTATTTTATTTTTATTTAAATTAAATATAAAATAGGGGCAGCATGGTGTCGCAGTGGGTATCACAATCATCTCACAGCAAGAAGATTGCTGGTTTAAGCCCCGGCTGGGTCAGTTGACATTTCTGTGTGGAATTTGCATGTTCTGTCTGTGTTTGCGTGGGTTGCCTCCAGGTGCTCCAGTTTCCCCCACAAGTGCAAAAACATGTCATGTGGTATAGGTGCATTGGGTAAGCTAAAATGAATGTAGTGTATGTGTGTGTGGGTGTGTTGTTTCCAAGTGTTGCAGCTGGACGGGCATCTGCTGCGTAAAACATATGCTGGATAAGTTGGTGGCAACCCCTGATTAACGAAGGCACTAAGCCAAAAAGAAAAGGAATGTATGAATTAATTTAAAATAACCAACATGGAATATTTGCATCTGCTTTGATAAATAATAAAATAAAAAAACATGTCAAATTAAATTCAATTTATACTGAATTATTTATAAAAATTTAAACATAAACCTAAAACATGACTAAATCATAGAGAAAGCATCAAGAAAATAGATTTTAAAAATACAAAATACATGAACATCTTCATACATAATGGTTATTTAAAATGAAAGTTTTTTTAAGTATTAAGACAAAACAACATAGGCCCATTATAATCCATGCTGAAAAAGGATTATTATAAAATAATATTTCAAATACTGTATATTGTTGGTCACATAATAGCCTTTGTTGCTCACTTTTTTAAAAACATGCAACAAATAAACATATTACAACACATTTCAAAAATAAACGAATGAATAAAATGCAGTATAATCATAATAATATAAAAATCACTTATTTATTATTTTTATTTATTTCTTTATTTATTTCAGCAAAAAAATTGTGTCAAAAAACCTTTAAGCTAATTACAATTTAAATAACATTAATTATTGATGTTATTTTCAAATCCTAGGAATTAGGCTTCTTAATTACCTAATGATAAATTATTTCTTATTTCATCATTTAATTCTGATGCTAAAATTTTTATTTAGTTTACCCATAGGCTATTTTTATTTGCGTTGTAACAACACAATCATAATAAGCATGACATTGGATGAACAATCAAATTAAATTAATAAGAAAATAAATAATACTAATAAACAATATAAAAGTTACAGAGGCAAAGAGTCCAATTCTATAACATTTTAAAGTCCTTATAAAGTTTCACCGTTTTTAACATTTTTTTACTATAAACATTTTGTAATGTAGATTATTGAATAATGTTTTAGTATTTTTTTTTATTATTATTAAAGGACAACAATAACAGCATCAAAAAATTGTTACATAGATTGGTCCATGAGTTTTACAGAGAGGTAAAGCATCCAAAAAGCATATATAAGAGAGAAAATATTAAATAAATAAATAAATAAAAAACAACAGATAATATAAAATCAGGTGTTAAACAAATTAAAAAAGCAAAATAAGTTAACAGTTCTAATAGCTTTAAGATTTTTAGAGGAAGCAATAGCTCTGATGTAAAGTTGGTTTTCCTTTTCAAAAACAATAAAACAAGGTATACGTTGAGAAAATTTTGCAGTATATGGACTTTTGCAAGAATTAAAAGAAGGTTAATAATGAAATATTCCTAATTTTATCATTAGGAGTATTGAAAAAAAAAAAAAACGAACAGGATATTTTAAAAAGATAACAAAAATTCTGTTAGTATTTTGCAATGAACAACCAAAGAAAGTTTAATCCAAAAGCATTTTGTATGGGAGAAATTCCAAAAAAATATGATCAGCAATTTTATATTTTTTCAAAAATGTCTTGGCTGTTTAAAATCTGTTTGAATAAAATTTTCTCTAATTTTGTTAGTTATTATATATTTTAAAGACAAAGACCAAACTTTTTTTCCATTGAATCTGATCAGAAATTTCCATCAAAAAAAAAAAAAAAAAAACTTCATTTATGGGGCTGTTACAATTTACTTTTAAAAGAGAGACCTGATTTTGTAATTATGTGTGGAAGGTTGTGACAAAAAACATAAATTCCCACTGAAGTTTCCAAGGGGTGTAAAATTAACCATTAAAGTCTCAAAGAAAATTGTGCAAATTAGGTAGAGAAGAAGAAAATTTATGAATATTATATTTACCAATTAGAATAAATAGATTGCCTATATATTTATGTTATGTTTGTCATGAGAAAGGTAACAAATTATATCACACATAGAAACTTCTGTTCAACTTACATTTTGGACCAAAGCACTTTAACCATTTGTGCATTTTTACCACATAGACTACAAAAAAAAGACAAATCTGCAACAAAATTACCATTCATAAATGTCAATCTACTAATAAGAAACCGAATTTTAAGGTACCGATGACTGAATTATGCTTATATATTAGACTTTTAGAGACTCTAAGAAAACCCTAAGCACTTTAAAACTTTGTGAATTTTACAATGTGTTTATTTGATTATTACATACGTACATTCTGAATATTTGTATTTGATTTATACTTACCACCTGGCATGTATATATATATTTTTGTACTGTTAAAAAGGCAAATTTGCGTCATGACATCACTCCTCTGTAGCGAGCACGTTGTGCACGCGCAGGTCTGTGCTGTGTAAAACAGGAAACGTCGAAAGGCGTTAGCAGCAGTTAATTATTAGCCTGTTGGCTACCACAGCTACACACAGAAACAAACCACAGCAAAGCCTTCATCTGAAGAAGCCAATAAAGACTATCGCCTGCCCGGTCGATTGGTTTCATCGGTGGGACCGACATGTCAGAGACGTACGGTAATGACATTTTTTGTTGTGGTTAGCACTTACAGTTAGCTAGTGCTGGCGCGTGCGTGAGAGTGAGCGCGCGTGCTGTATCAACATCACCAGCAGGCAGACGATTTCTGACTTCAGACCTCTAGTTTTTTCACAATTATAGATTAGTACGTGGCGTGTCAATCACAAGTGCTTAGCCATGCTACTGTCATTCTTGCTGGTCGAGACTGTCTGTAAATATCAGGTAAATATGTGTTTATTAGGTTAATGTCCACACTCTCAGATGGGCCTGTCAGATAAGCAGTTGGGTGTGTGGTGATGATGTCTAAAAAATTTGCCTACGTATTGACACAAGCTGATAAATCTATTCTGTAATTCCTGGTTATGCCATGATTACGATGTTTTAAGCCATCATATAAATGTTTAAAAAGCTCCTTCCGTCGTATTATTATTGCTTTAAGCGAATATGTTTTGGACACATCTCAATATTAAACAAATAATATAAATAATAACAATATGAGATCACACGTGTTTTTGTATAGTTCTGAGATCTGTAAACAACCAGAAAGGTGAGGGGCGCGGCCCGATCTCATTCGGCCAATCAGAAATGTCCTCTGCCTAAAGTGTTTTGAAATGCTGAAATATTTTTTCTGCCTGAAGTTTCGCCGGATTAATTAGTTGAATCTTTTGAATCATTCACTTAAAAGCCTCTTTTAAGTCTAATTAAAATTTTGTAAAGCAAAAACTGAGGCAAATATGTTTTTTTTTTTTTTTGCCTTTAGAGTTTTTATCATGACAGTGTAAACATTTATTCAATAATTTTCTTTTCGTCTTAGTCCTTTTATTAATTAGAGGTTGGCACAGCAGAATGTACCACCAACTTATCCAGCACATGTTTTATGCAGCGGATGCCCTTCCAGCTGCAACCCATCTCTGGGAAACATCCATACACACTCATACACTACGGACAATTTAGCCTACCCAATTCACCTGTACCGCATGAGGAAACCCACGCGAACGCGGGGAGAACGTGCAAACTCCACACAGAATGCCAACTAACCCAGCCAAAGCTCAAACCTTGCTGTGAGGCGACAGCACTGCCACTTCCGACTGTGCCACTTCGTCGCCCAGTGTAATCATGACAAATCATTGGGTCTTTGTTCACTCTGAATACGACAAATATTTGGTTGAAATAGTAGTAGAGTAGAGGGTTTTGAAAAACATTCACAAGTCGGTTTTATTTTCACACATTCGTTTGAATATAACTTGTGACTCTGTCCTTATATTGTTTACCATTCTACTTTGAATATTCAGTCTAAAATAGCATGCAAGTATGACCACAAAACAACATTAGCACTTATTAATTGACTGTGAACATTGAGCAATGGTGTTCTTTGACAGTCTTTGGCGGATTAAATGACTTCTCTATTTTAGAATTAGCAAAGATTACTTTTCTGAAAATATACCATTACGTATAAAGTCAGAATGTAATGCGAATATAAAATAAAATAGTTTACCTTTATTTTGTAAACTTTCTTCTTCTTTATTACCTGAATTTGCTTTGAGTGCTGTTTTTGAATCATCGTTCTTTTGTGAATGCAGTTCAGTTAAAGAGCCCATATTATACATGAAATTGGGTCATATCTTGGTTGTAAGGATCTCCAACAACAGTTTAATAACCATGCAAGGTCAAAAAACACTTTCATGGTCTCAAAATCTGCATTTATTTTTACCTAATTATCCCAGCGACTTCGGTATGAATCGTCCTGTGATTCATTTGTTCCCAAACCCCTCCTTAGCGCGAAGCTAATCTGTTGCGATTGGTCGACTGCCTTCAGTGAGAGAGTGAAATGTCCAACAGCTAATCAGCAATATAAAAGTAATCACAGTTGATGCTCGATAGTGTAGGCGTGGATTTTAGCTGCCAGTGGGTCAATGTAAATACAGACTATGGACTTGAAAATACAGACGACTGACTATTTTATTGAGCAAAAACTCCAAAAACAGTTGAGGAGATCTCCTAGCTTCTCACTCTGCTCTTTTCACAGACACACACACACATATTGCACACACACACACACACGCACGCACACACACACACACACACACTTAACCCTGCTCCGGACGACAACGTGCGCGCACACACACACACACACACACACACAAACAAACACACACACCTCCGGACGACAGCGTGCGCACACACACACACACGCACACACAGACACACACACTACTCCTCCTTCACGGAGCTCCGTAAACAAAGCAGCACGCGTCGCGTTTTAAACGTGACTTTGCACGCGATAAGAGAATATAGCGAGTTAACCTGATACAGTACACGTGGTTACAAGTAACAAATCACAACTAAATACATTTGAAAGCTAGAGTCAACGAGGCAACCTTAATTGCGCGTACTTACACTTGAGAAATGGAAGAAACCCATCCTGACGTCCATCAGTAAGTTACTCTTTACTGATCCTTCTTTTAACAAACGCCGATGATGTATTCTTTGTAGCATGTAGTTTGCGGAAGTTTCCAGTAGTTTCCAACTGCTTGGCTATAATGCTGAGGTTTCATCTTTGGGTAGAGACTCAATATATCCATCTGCAGTGTGACTTCAATCGACCGGCATGTTTGTGTGTGTGTGTGTGTGTGTGTGTGTGTCTGGGTTTCTGCGTCAGAGGGCGGGGCCTCAGGTTTGAAATCTCCCGGGTTTGCGCGTGCACGTGAATAACTTGGTTTCATTCGCACGTCATGGCGAAACACCTAATGAGTCGGTATCAAGGAGACTCGTTTGAAGCACTATGAGTCGACTCTTTTATAGATGAATCAACCGTTTTAAACACTGTACACTAACAGATTTAAGCCTTAGCTGGACACTTCACTTCACTTAGAGCTGTGTTACACACTACATGGAGGGGAATTTTCAAAAACCCATAATATGGGCACTTTAAGGACTGTGAGGACCAAAAACTTATGATCTTATAAAAGAGAAGTTGAACATACCAGAAAAAAAAATGAAGCAACAAACTAGGATTGGTTTCTAATGCAGTTTGATTGGCCCTAGCGATTCAATTCTCCTGTTTATCAATCAATTACAAAGACTCATTCCGGCTGTGTTCAGACAGGAAAATGTGTACCAAACCTATTTGGTTAATGCAGGTCATCATGATGACCAAAAATGAATCTGATTTTGTGATTGTGAAGTTAAAAAAAATAACGAGAGCAATATATTAGAATTGATTTCTAATGCAGTTTGATTGGCCCTAGTGATTTAATTCTGTTTTATTATCAATCACAATTGAGGTGAGGTTGGTTTTATATTCGGACAGTCGTTTAAAATGTTCATGTGACTGTTCCTAAAATGTTTACCATGCTACTTTGAGTATTGGGTCTAAAATAGGGCCGCATGATAGTGGAAATATCTGATATTGCAATATTTTATTTTTCTGCAATAAATATAAAGATTTAAATGCAGTTTCAGAAGATTGTTTAAATAGTACTATTTAATGGTTTCTGAGAAGTCTAAGGGCCCTATCATACACCCGGCGCAAGGCGCGATGCAATAATTGTTTGCTAGTTTTAGCTTGGCGCAAGAGTCGTTTTGATGTTTTGCTGTTTAAATAGCAAATGCATTAGCGCTCATATGTGCGCCCATAGGCATTCTGGTGTAAAAAGGAAGGCATTCTGAGGCACATTGCTATTTTGAGAAACTATAATAGATTTTTCATTAGACCAAAACAAGGCCAGCCTAAAGTCAGCACAGAGAGTGTTAGTTGTGCGCCTCGCTTACACACTGCTTAATACACACAAGATGTAGAGCAATACGCAAATATCTTTACATATAAAAAAGAATTAAAATATTAAGGATATATAGAATATAATCAGTATTTATATGGGATATAAATATAAAGGATTAAAATATTACAAAACATATTATTTTCTAGCCTACATAAATTTAAAAAGCATACTTTCATGCCTTCTTCATCTCAAGGGATTTTTCAGTTTATTCGTGACAATTTGCTTTTGTATAATGTTATTATTATTAGTATTATTTATTATATTCATATTTATATTTGTTTTATTAAAAACAAGCTTAGATTTGTCCACCTGTCAGGTTTTAGACCATATGGGGCACAGCATGTGTTCTAAGATATACAGTAACTGAGGTTTTTGACCACACATCGTTATTATTGTTCATTTATTGAAAATTAGAACTGAAAGTTTTGAAACAAATCTTTGCGCTTAACAAACAAAATTAATTATTTATAGGCTAATTGATGTCTGTGCGTTTAAGGTTTCCCTATCCATGAGAGCGTGATACTCTCACGAAAGTGAAAGTAGATTATGAGATGCCTGATCTCTCATTCTCGCGCTGCAGATGCTCTATTTAACTGGTTTCTTGCTAGTGAAATGCTCAGTTTTTCCATTTACAAAGTCTGCCATGTAAATAGCAAATGCGCTCATGGCGCGACCCAACTGGCTCTTATAGGGAATTAGAGATGAGACTCTGATTGGTTTATTTTGAAAACACACCTATAACTCATTAAGAAAATTAGATCAACCACTTTAGATCAAGCGCCACGGCGCAAAGCGGATTTTTCAGTCCTTATATTAGCAAAAGTGGATTCTGACATGACTTTAAAGCATTTGCGCCCTGCGCTTTGCTCTTTGCACATGGACCATCAAAATAGAGCCCTAACAGTATTCTGGTAAAGAAACTTAATAATTACAATGCAAAAAAAATGCTTTTCTTACTTAGTTTTGTTGCATTTCTAAAAAAAAAAAAAAAAACTTGCTCTAAGGAAATTATCTAGTAAAGAAAACTTTTTTGCTTTGAAATTTTTGAACTAGTAACAAGACAAAAATTATAAGTAAGAAATGTTTGTTTTTGTTTTTTGCATAAAATCATATAAAGTCCATAAATACAATGACTGTGATATTAAATCTGAAACGATATATTGTGCAGCCCTAGTCTAAAATAGCATGCAAGTATGACGTCAAAACAACATTAGCACTTA